AGTCAACTGCCACGTCACCTCCGTCATGTCCACGTCAGCAATTTCCGTTAGTTTTTTAACAGTGGAACCAAAATTGATAAAAATTGTTTATAATGGGATCAAAATTGATTGAAATTGTTTATATTGGGACCAAAATTGATGAGTTTTTTATATTTGGACCAAAATTGATGAATTTTTTATATTTAGACCAAAATTGATTAATTTTGATTATATTGGGACCAAAATTAATTTTTTTCGCTGTATTTTATAACCTATTACATAAGTAAAAAAAATCTCTCTCTCTCTCTATATATATATATATTACAATAAAAAATGGGTTTTTTGAATTGACCCAGAATTTGACGCGCATACTGCGGATTAAGGCAGGACAAGTTTTCTGGGGCAGGGCTGAGCCGGAGGGGTGGGTTTGGGCCGGTGACCCATCTTGTTGTCATTATTACCTATAAAATAATAATAATAATAATAATAATAATAATTCACTTTTATTATAATTTGTATCCGGTAAAATAAAGATACATTTATATAAATAGTTAAATGAGCACACATTTATCTAATTTGCACTTTAGTCCGTCTTTATCGAATTTTATTTTACATCGTGTTCTTTATCCAAAGCTAACCGAATTCTTTTCCCTTTACCAGGTATCGCCACCGGCAACCACCGACGCTGCCGACGCCAATGCGGACTCTGATGCACTCGCCCACAAGGTTATGTGTTCGAAAATCTCAGTATTATATTGCAATTTTGGCCATTACACCTTATCCAGTTCTTTTATATCGTTCGACACAAGATAGTATTTTTCTCACACTAAGTCAATTCGACACAAGATAGTATTTTTCTCACAATAAGTCAATTGCCCTGCAAGACGCCAGTGGCAGAAATATACATTAAAATACGAACGTAGGAGCTGTGTGAAGCTGCAGCACAACACAAACACAATTCCATTTGAAAGCCCAATCTAACATGACTTGGCCTAATCAAAGTCTAATCAACAAGGCACCTTCAATCCCGAGCCACCTATCAAAGATCTACAGACGGCTACTAGATCAGGTATAGAACAATTTTAAAGCGGATTCAGAACAAATCCCTAGTCCAAGAATCTGGTTCAATAAATAGTCCCTCATCAAGAAGCAGAAATAGGGCTTGATTTTGGATTAACTTTGCATTCAGCCATGGCGAAGTTGTCCAATCCTACGTGTGTTACTAATGCCGCCACCGCAACAAGCAATGATCCAACAAAACCAGTTACCTAAGTTAACACCATCAATCCTTCTTGTATTTTAAAAAAGAAAAAAGATAAAATAAATGAAGCCAAAATTGAAATATAATGCCTTGAGGAAAATGAGAATAAATAAAAACATAATATCTAAGATTTTCGAATCCACACAAAATTGTATGGAAAAAACAAATAATGAAGCCAAAATAGAAATATAATACTCAAGAGAAATGGAAGGTATAACGAGATAATACCCGAGATTTTCGTGCGCAGAGTTTTGTGGGAACGTGTCCCAATCGGCGATCGATTAGGCGTCAGCAACAACGGTGGCAAAACTGGTGTTCAAAACTCTTGCCTTGTGGGCGAGAGCGTCAGAATCTGCATTAGCATTAGCATTGGCGGTCACCGGTTGCTGTCCCTGTGTAGGGACAATGGGAAGAAAGAAGATGCAAAATAATTGGGTTAAATCTATAAAAGACACAGATGAAAAAGAATAAAGATATGGAAGGAGTAAAATGCAAATTAGACAAAATTTATTTTTGATATTTGATAAAATAATAATAATAATCACAACAAATACAGATGTTGGCCACTTATAGGCTAAACTGGTTAGACTGAATAAACCTTCCACCGAGGATCCCATGCCCCGGTCGAACCTAATACCTGCAAACTATGCATGACAAGGTAAGACACACTAGACGAATCATATATGACAAGTGTTACTATATATTCAAAAGATATAATTTTGTATATATTATATATAATTATGGTATTAGTTTTATTCGAGAGATTTGTAAAATTTGTATTCCATTATTAATATGTATAATTTATAGTTTATTAATAAAATAGAAAATTTAATTTTATATTCCAACACCTTAAATTCCAATCGGTGCTTAGAAATAATGGAGAAGATAAAAGTTTTGTTTGATTATGGTTTGAAATTTATTTATAATAGACTATTGATTTGAGTTTTTGTTTAAATAAAAATTAGATGTAATGTTTTGTGAAAAAAATAGTATATATTTCATCGAAAACTATGCGGACTGAATAGTGTTGATTTGAATTTGAAATGATAAAAGAACAAACTCAATGTATATGAAAATAAAAACGCACTCATCATTACTTGACGCTTCTTAATTAGATCTTGTCTATCGCACCTAATTTGCTTAATGTGATTTATTTTGTTAGCCTGATTTGCAGGTCACTAAGTTCATTAAATTTTACCTCAGGTATACTCAAAGAATAGTGACTCTCAGTTTTCACATCATAAAAAAATAATAATAAAACCAAATTCTGAGGAGATCAATTGAGAATGAGGTGTTTAATAGATAGAAAATACAATTTAATTTAATCGTAATTTTAAGCACCTAATAATTGATAATTTCGGCCTAATAATCATACTTAATGGCATATAATTATTCGACAACTATTAGCAATTAAAATGAAACATTCTACAATTAAAATTAAATCATTTTAATATTAAAACTACATATTCTAAGAATAAAGAGGAAATATTCTAATTATTAGATCTAATGTTTTGTTCAAAAAGTTAATCTATTTTATAGAAATCATGATGTTGTGTTAAAAAATATATTGAATAATAATAATAATAATAATAATAATAATAATAATAATAATAATAATAATAATAATAACACTCAAATTTTACACTTGAACTTGATGATGATGATGATTGACTTGTTCGAGTTGAGTAACCATGCCTTTCTTCCTCATTTGATTCGATCCTTTAATATTGTAGAACTCAATAATTTTTATTTTTATTTTTTTTAAAAAAAAAAAAGTTTTGCAATTTTTCTCATTTTGGGCTTTAGGATTTTTCAGTCTATAAATATTTAGTTGTTTCACTTTATTTTAATTTCCGTTTCATTAATAAAATTACGTTTAATCTTGATCAAAAATTTTCTATTTTTCGGATATTTTAATTTCTGCAATCGGCAATCATTAAGCTAACTTCATCAATCTTGTTAGGGTATTTTAATTCCTCCAACTAACATCTTAAAATTCCTTTTTCAAATTTATTTCAATTCATTTTTCAAAAATTATTTTCGAAATAGCTTAAAATATCAATCACACTAAAACCACGACCAAACACAGTATTTTGAGGGGGGGGGGGGGGAATCAGAAATTATGGATGAGAAATACTTGTAAGATTTTACCTCTGTTTTACTATTACAATATTTTTTTTCCTCCGAAAACATCAAATCAAACACCTAATTTTTATTTAATGATATGGGTTTTTAATAAAACTAATTAATATGATAAATATGACCAAATATGTATATGATAGCTTAAGTTCATAATTGGACTAATTAACTAAGATTCTGTTTTACCCATTACTCCCTCCCTCCCCCAAACATTTGATTGTTGACCAAATACGAATGACTTACTAAATTTATCTCATTACTAATTTTTAGTAAAGTCAACAAATCAACATCTAATCATTATCTTCAATTGAACACTTATTTATAACAAATACACTGACTTTATTAGATTATCTTCTTTATTTACTTAAATTTTCAACTAAATTTTCAAAAATATCCCCAACTACCTATCACTTTTTTTAATAAACTATTCTTTTTTTTAATATCCGGACCCAAGTGAACTAATTTTAATGGATGGAGGGAGTACTATTTATTAATTATAGTTATATATGCTTTAATATTTTAAAAATCATATTCAAATTTGTGCAACTAAGAGCAGAATATTAAATTTCAAGTTACAGCTATAAAAATGTATATATATATATATATATAATCATCCAGCTGATCAGTGTTATAATATTAGTCACTGATGATCAATTAATTAATGACATATGATAATAATAATTAACAATCACAGTAAATTAAACAAGATGCTTCAAATATTAAAATGAAGAGAGAGAGTTGACTTGAGATGAGTCATGAGATGCAATCGAAGATTTTAAAGTTCTTCCTGAGATGAGATGAGATGCTTCTTCGTCTTCTTCTTCTACTTGTTCAATCCAAATTGATTGTGAAGTGAAGGAATCAAATCACATTCTTCAAATCCGTAAAGGTAAATCAACACTGCTTCACATATATATCATTTACTCTTCATTCTGAGCTTTAAATGAATTTAACGAACTCATTAACTATCTGCAACTGTTTTATTTTTATTCTTATTTGTATGTTATAAAGTGTTAAGAAACTATGGTGACTCATTCATCTGATTTGTTAGGGTCTTAGTAGTGAGATCTATTTTTATTGCCTGTTGGGAAGTTGATCTTGTTGGTAAAAAGAATGCCAGAACAAATCGAATATATAGTGGAAAAGGCTACTTTGAAGAATATATTTTATGATTTTTTTCTTGCTTGATTCAAATGACAAACATGGATCCATATCTATAGGTTCAAAGGTACATATAGATGCATCTATGATTATTTAGATTATGTACTTTGAAATGCATTCATGCATAACTTTAATAGATACATATACATCTCTATATTGATGCATTGATTTACTAGATATATGTATGAATATTCATGCATTGATTGAAAATACCAAATTAATAATTCCAACAGATCTCCTCCATGGACCCTCTCGGTGCAATTTGGGATATTCTAAAATGCTTGTGTGGCTGCACAGTCAAAACTGTCAAGACAATCAAAGACCTGGAAACAAATGTGAAATCCTTAGAAAATGCAATGACACAACTGAACGAAGTTCGTGAAGATGTGAACAGAAGGGTGGTTCTCGAAGAGGAAAGGCAGATGGTACGCACTAATCAGGTCGATGGCTGGTTGCAAAGGGTCGAGGCAACTGACAAAAGTGTTGAGGAGTTTCTGCAGAATGCTAGTCAGAAAAGGAATTGTTGTACTTGCTGTTGGTTCAGATATAAGCTTGCTAAGGAAGCTGTTGTGAATCGGGAAGCTGTGGAGGAGCTAAGGAGGGAAGGAGTGTTCGATACAGTAGCAGAGGCGTTGCCGCGAGGTGTAGCAGATGAGAGACCTCTGGGGCACACCGTAGGATTGGATTCACGTCTTGCACAAGTGAATGAATGGATTGAAGATGATAATGTGAAGATCATCGGGATATATGGCATGGGGGGTGTGGGGAAGACAACGCTTTTGAAAAAGGTTAACAATACATTTCTAAGTACGAATCATGGATTCGATAAAGTGATTTGGGTTGTAGTGTCTAAAACATTCACCATTGGAAAAGTTCAGGATAAGATTTGTGAACAACTTAATATTCCTGACGACAAGTGGAAGGATAAGGACGCGGAGGAAAAGGCGGTGCAGATCTTAAGGATTCTTCGTACGAAGAAATTTGTGCTCATGTTAGACGATGTATGGTCGTGGCTGGATCTTGTTAGAGTTGGTGTTCCGGATTTGGATGGCGAAAGAATGTTCAAAATTGTTATCACGACGCGATATGAACATGTTTGTGATTCCATGAGACAGGACAGGAAGATCAATGTAAGTTGTTTGGAGAAAAAGGAAGCGATGGAACTTTTCATGCAGCAAGTTGGACCAGAAATTATAGATTCTCATCCAAGTATTCGTGAAAGTGCTGAAACTGTTGTGAAAGAATGTGATGGCTTACCACTTGCCTTAATCACTGTGGGACGAGCCATGGCTGGGAAAAAAGATCCCCGTGATTGGGACATGGCAGTTAAGAAACTACGTAGAGATCCATCCAAGATCATGGGCGTGGAAGATCATGTTTATCATGTTTTAAAGTTTAGCTACGACAGTTTACCCAGCGACACAATTAGATTGTGCTTCTCTTATTGCTGCATATTCCCGGAGGACTTTGAAATCGATATCGAGGATCTCTTAGACCTCTGGATTGCAGAAGGTTTTTTAGAAGATTACAATGATCTGCATGAAGCCCGTGATCAAGGTCGAGATATAATTAGAGACCTTAAAGCTGCAAGCCTTTTGGAGGGTGGAAGGTCTCTGGAGTTTGTCAAAATGCACGATGTTATCCGCGACATGGCTTTATGGATTTCCAATGGACTCGACAAAAATAGAAAGAGGTATTTGGTTCTGGATCACATAGATCTGGTCGAAGAGTGTGCTGAAAAGATGATGGAAGCTGAAAGAGTTTCATTGTGGGGTGAAACCATAGTAGATGTCAAAAGAGTTCAACCATGGAAGAATACTTTGACTTTCATGATGAGGAACACCAGAGTAGAAATGCTCCCTTCTGGATTGGTGCAGTGTATGCTTATGCTCAAAGTGTTAGACTTGTCGGGGAACTTCGATCTAGTAAAGTTGCCCTCGAGCATCGGTGAACTGGTGCAACTTGAGTTTCTTAACTTGTCCTTCACCACCATCAAGGAATTGCCCATTGAGCTCAAGAACTCGACAAAAATGAAGCACTTGCTTCTGGATCATACAGTTGCACTAGAAGTGATTCCACGGCAGGTCATATCAAACTTCCCTTTGTTGCGTACATTTAGATTGTTCGGTGCTCAAAGATATGATTCATGGGATGTGGATGCAAAAGATAACATACTGAGTGGAGGTAGGGTAGAGTTGTTAGAATTATTGGAGGGCTTGCAGCACATTAGCACCATATCTCTCACACTATTCGACAAGAAGTCTATGGAAAAGCTTAACAACTCACCGAAGCTACTGAGTTGCTTAAGGAGGCTTTCTGTTGGAGAGTTGATTTCAGTAGAGTCTCTATGTTTTCCAGCAGAGAGAATGCGGCATCTTGAGGTGCTAATTATGAATCGCTGTGAGGTGCATGAGGTTATAATAATTGATTCTAAACAGCATCAATACAAGGATGAGGATAGATATGGTGTCGTCGGCATTTATGATCACTCCATACCATCATCACAATCACAAGCAGCTCCATGTTTCCATAACCTCAATATCATATACATATATTATTGCCCCAAGTTGTTGGACTTGTCGTGGCTTGTCTATGCTCCAATGCTCCAATCTCTTGTGGTGGAGGATTGCACATCCATGGTTGAAATTGTTAGTGCAGGTACAGCTCATGACGTTGCAGATTCTATCCAGTTATTTTCAAGGCTTAAGAATATATACCTTTCTGACCTTCCATGTCTGGAAAATGTGTATCCACATCCCTTGCCATTTCCATCTCTCGTCAAGATAACTGTGTTGGACTGCAAAAGGTTTAAACGATTGCCGCTTGATTGGACAAGTGGACGAGGAGGCTGTCTGAAGAAGATCAAAGGAGAGAGAGAGTGGTGGGATGCACTGCAATGGGAGGATCCAATGCTCGAACCTCGCTTTCGCCAATATTTTGTGTCTGATGATTAAAGGTTATTTATATATATATATATATTTGTGGTGTGTTTGTTATATTGAAAGACCAAGCTTCAATTTCCATGATCTATTTGGAAGCTGCAGTTTATATATTTTTAAAATTTATTTCTTTCTTAATTTTTAATTTATATATGCATATACAAGGCGGAACTAGAATTGGATTAAAGGAGAGTTAATTTTTCGAACTTGTAAAATAATACAGTTTATTCAATTATACATATAAAACAACATATATCTATTTATTATCCGCACAAAATAATATTGATATGCATAACTATATATATCACAAATTCAAAATATGATTCATGTGCATGTTGTGTTAGCTATATTAAAACCTTAAATATGGTTTAGATACTAGTAATGATGTAAACTCTAAATTCTAATATTAAAAAATATGAAGCAACAATCCCTGTAACTAATTTTGAATTGAAATAATAGTTTAATATAATAAATATATATATATATTAATATGATATTTTGAATGTGAAATTAAATTTAAATGTAATATATATAATAAAAAAATGGGTGTTTTATTTCATAATGTTTTTTGAAAAAAAGAATTGCAATAGTAAAACAAGAACAAATTTTACAAATAAACATATCTTATAATTATATTCTTTTTTATTTTAAAATTAATAAACAGTATATTTTTTCAATTCATCAAATACAAATAAAATTCAACTCTAGATTTTTAGTATTTATTTTGTTTCTTCAATTTTTTTTTTATATTAACTATTTACATATTTGATTTTTTTTTCTAAATAAATAAAAAAAAATGAGGGGTGGGGTGGGGGAAGGGGGTTTGAAGCCCACCCTTGCCCCAACATGCTTCCGAAACATATATACATATATACACACAATACAAATGAAATCTATAAATAATAGATAAATATGAATATATTTTCAAATTAAAAATTATAATTAAATCTCGATGAATTACAAATAATTTGAGATTTTGTATGTCAGTATGTTCTTTTGTATCTTTAAATAATCTAATCTTTTAGTATTGTTTAATTTATTATTAGTTTTTAAAATAGTATTATATAATACAATATATATATTTATTTATTTTGTACTGTGTTTGTTGAATTGAAAGAGCTCCCATTTATAATTTTTAATATCATAGGTTTGTTCGTCTCGAAAAGAATGACCTGATAATGCTGTGGAGAGTAAATTTATGATCGGTCTGTCAGCTAGGTTTCTATGTTATCAAAATAATATATATTATGGGTTTGTTGGTTTGTATTTCCAACTAAGTTTTTATTATAGAAATTCAGATAATTTCAGTAAAAACATGTTTTCTATCATAAATAAATAAATAAATAATAAACTTATTTTTTATTGTCATAAAAAAATATGTTTGATTTCTTTTTTTAACAAAAAAATTATACTCCCTCCGTCCCAAACATGGCGAAACATTTGGTTTTGGCACGGATTTTTAGGTGGACAGTATTAAGTAGATAATTTAGAAATTAGCTAATGTGATGGAGAGAGAAATATATATTTTACTTTTTTATTTGGATGATGTGAGGGGATAAAGTGAGGGTATAATTAATTATTTTCTATTTTAGAAATTTAATTTTTAATAACAGAAAGAGTATTATTTATAGTCATAAAATATATTATTAAAATATTATGTAAATCAAATCTCAAATGAAAAATTTAAATTCAAATCAGACAAAAAAAAAATTCTTAATTTTAACTTTACACATACATATATATATATATATATTAATAACATTATTTTCACATATTTTATATTTTTAAAATATAATATTTTTAATTTAATTTAATTAATTGAATAATAGTGATAGTTCAAATTTTAAATAAACACTATTTTTTTTCAATTAATTGGATAACCGTGGAACTTTTACTTTTAAATGGAATATTAAAATTTTTTACGTAACATTTATTAAATAATAAAAAATTAATAAGAGTAAAATTATGCCACTAGTATATCATAAGTGCATATCAAATATTACTTTTATCTAGTATATGTTTTTTCAACCATTTTGGGTATTGTATCTTGTAACAAATCATTTTTTTTTTTTTTTACAAAAAATGATTTTTGTATGTGAATTTAATGGTAAAAGGATCAAAAATCAGAGTTTTAATTTGATATGGCATAACCCAAACCCAACCCAATAAATATATATATATATGTGATAATTAAGAATGATATTTTGTTATTGGTTGATTGCAATTTTTCATAATGTATGAATGTGTGTGACAAAATTAATCATTTTCTATCCATGGTTAAATGAAACACAAAATCAAGCATGAATTAAAGATCCATGTAACAAATAAAATTCTAACATTATTAGATAATATCAATACAACTACAAATTTTAATTTTATCGAAACAAATTTTCATCAACCATTCCTTTCCATTTACATTATCTTCGCTGCGGATTTCAAACTCATTCCCAACACGAGCGCCAGATGCAGCGAGGGAAGCCTTCAATTCTCGGCGTCATGACATTCCTTCATACATTTTTGTCTGCAGATATTGATTAATTATTATGACACGGTGCATTGCTGATCGCAGTACAGTTTGCAATCTTTTGCCGACGAGACAGCCATCGCCATTAACATGATGACAATAATAGCTTCGATCTTGATCCTCTTGCTCTCCATTTTGCAATTATCCGTGTGTGTTTTAGTCGAACGAATTATGTTTTCACTTGATGGAATGGTCGAGAGGGGAGTGATTTATATAGATAAAATTTTATGTTGGATTATATTAAATCAGAATATGTATTTATGTAATTAGATTTTTTATAATTATCATTTTAGATTTTCAAAAAAAAAATGTATTATTATTAATTGTTGGAGATTGGGCTGATCCAGCCAAGTCAGCATAGTAAATGTTGAATTATCTCGTGTATTGACATAATATTTAATAAGTAAAATTACATTATGTAAAAAAATAATAATACTAATAAAAATTTAAAATATATATACATTATGTATTGTCAAATTAGCGTGGTATGGGACTTTATCCAAAATGCCTCGGGACCAACAAATGGGCCTTGTCTGCCTACCTTATACCATGTACTAGTGGAGTTTCGGTAAGACTTAGATTTTCTTCTAATTTTCTCATGTGGATTTGGGTTTGCTATGGCAATTTGTGAGAATAATTATTATTGTTAGGGAAATTGATTCTCGCATGCACGTTTGATACCACCAAGAAAAAATGTTCACACATATTTTTTAAAATTTTGACTGTTGGAGACCTAATATAAAAGTCCTCAATAAATATAATTAGTTAGTCTATTTTTTAACTCGGCCCATCAGATTCAACCCAAATATTTCGCTCAAATCCAAATCCTTTAGTCAAACCCAAACCCATAGTTTGATCCTTTTGTTGGGCTTTTTTTTTTTTTTTACCTTATGATTTGAGAATCCGTTTTCATTACTTTTCGAATGCCCTCTACGTAAATCTATTCAAATCTAATAGTTTACAAACTAATTCCGACAAGACAATTCACATTAAGGATGTGTTTGTTTGGGGGTTTGGATTTTGAGTTGAGATTTGAATAGTCAAAATTTTGAATTTGAATAGTTATACGATGTGATATAAATAGGTGATGATGTGATGTTTTGAATGTAAAATTGATTTTTAGTATAATATAAAAAATGAAAAATAGGTGTTTGATTTGATGTTTTTGGGGAAAAATTTTTGGATGAATAGTAGGATTTTGTTAAAAACCTACAAACGAACACACCCTAAGTGAACTATGTCTGACAGGCCAAACCTGTGGACATCGAGGATTTAAACTCATCACCTCACGGTCACAAGCGATTCCGGTGAGTTTCCAGTGAGAATAGAAGCCCTTTCCAATGGTTGATTCGTCCCTGATCGGAGTTGAAAATCGCCATCCAATTTTGAGCGAATCTGGTGGCCGAACTGTGCAAAGAAGTAGACACGAACAGCAAGTGTTTGCAATTTTTTCAATTCGATTGCATTTGTTTGTGGTTTTTAATTTCCAGAAGTTTAGCTATTAATTGTGTTACATTCAATTTGATTTCGATTTTAAAAAATTTTAGATTTTATTCGGTTATTTATTTTCTCTAATTCATTTATCGTATTATGTTTTCGAATTATTGTTGGAATAAAATCCAATCAATTGGAATATAAAGTCACAAACACATAAATATAGTTATATCAAGAGCGCAACAATATTAGGATGTATCATCATGTTTTTTTTTTTCATTTTGACACTTCAAATGTTTATTCATTTGATGTATTATTATTATTATCATTATTATTATTATTATTATTATTATTATTATTATTATTATTATTTAGTTTCTCAATTTTTTTCCAAAAATATTCATTTATCATTCATGTTCCATACAAATCAAACATTGCATCAATCCAACTATTTCACCTAAAAAAAATCAAGTAAACAAAATTATTTCAGTTGAATCTTTCGAAGATCATATTTTTCAACAATTACGCATAGAGATAAACATTATGCCTTCAACTAGTTGACTATCGATTTATAGAGAGAGTCCCGAGGGGAATCGTTCGATAACACTTCTTCCCATTTCTTTCTTCATTCTTTTTCCGGCCTCTTAAACTCATTGACAATAACAGAATTGGCGTCGAGAGGATCACCAATTTGGTTCGAAAGTGTCGCTTGAGCTGTGCAATGGTTTATAAAAAGGCCCATACAAACTAATATTGTCGCCGGGCGCTTACAACCCTTCATGCACTCGGTGAAACAACTTGCCTCTGACGAGATAACCATAGCCATTAACATAACGAAAATGATTGTAATATGTTCTTTCGGCAAGAGAGGTTGATTTATAAAAGAAAATTAACTAAATATGGAATAATTGAGGAGAAAAAATAATTTAATTTCTTGATTCTTTTAATCTATCAAACTATTAGAATATATAAATATATATAATGAATAAAAGTAGATATTATTAACTTATTAGCCAATATCC